TAAGTTAGGATGAAGTGAGCCAGAATGGTCCAACCATACTCTTTGTTTACCAGGATAATGGCTGAAAAATGCAAGGGCACATTTACCAGGAATCTACATATACAACAGAGGAAAGCCATTGAATCAATAAAAGGCTAGTACTTTAATATCTTTTTATAGAGAAGTAATTGTAAATTATTACAAGTGAGATGTAGTAATGATGTAACAGCAGGAAATATTTTAATTTTTATGTAATATTTACAATATCCAACAAAATTCTATGCAATTATATTTACTAGACTGTGATCACATCATCTCATAGTGTAATTGGTGTTGTTATCCCTTTCAGTATGTAGTGTGAGAATGTGTAGTTATGTAATTGTTGAGGCAGAACAAACCAATAATTTCAAATGAGGAAATTCCACGGTAAGTATTACAGTATTAATCATGTGATTTTATTATAGATGAATAAATTTGAGGACGCTGACTTTTTTTTTTTTCAAGCTGAAGCTGGTTTGGTATATACTTTCTTTATCTAAGGCTGCTTCACCTGCCTAGAGAGCTCTGTCTCAAGTCTTCAATCCTTTAGAAACCATTCACAAGTCCAAATGCTCAAAAATCTCCTTCTGTAAATTCCTGTAACTGACAAAGGAAAGTACATTTATTTTCAATTATTATTTACTGCTTCATATGTTTATTTCATATTTGTACTGTTTTCAAATGAACAATTTATGCTTTACAGGCTGCAAATGATTCTATTATCATCATCAGTGCAAAACACATGGTGTACCTAAAATACATTTTCTACTTGAAATGTCTTAAATCATTTTAATGTGATAATTTAAAAAGCACCTAGTAGGAAATTTTTCCCTAGAGATATCACTAATTCTTCATAGTAGCCATGCTCTACAGACTGACTTATAATTAGAATTTGAGTAAAGTGTTGCATAAAATCTTTTATAAAACAGAGTAATTTTAAAACTATGACATCTGAAAACAGCCTCTCTTAGTTTGTCCCCTAAAGTAAATTCAAATCTCAAATCACAGTAGGTTTTTTTTAATATTTGATCTAACTCATTTAACTTCAAGTATATAAAATTGTAAAATAGTGATACGTATGTATGTGTATATATATCTACACATATACATATATATTTCTCAGTAGACAAAAGATTGTTGATATGTTTCAATATTCTAATGGTACTATGAATACTATCTAAAATGTGTATTCATTTCATTCTTACTATGTACTTTGCATTAAATTACTATGGACTTTCATTGTGTTTTTGTTTCCTTCTGATCATGCTCACTTGAAACATGCTCATGCCTTTGTTTGTACACTAGGAAATATGCAAGATGCACATTAGTAACATAACCATTCCCTGTTTAAAAAAGCCATCAATTGTACACTTATATTAAGAAATTATCTTCCACACTATTAAATTTATTTTCCTTCAGTTAGTTCACATAAGTAAAACAATATGAACTTTTAGGCTTTCATAACTCTTTATCATTCTCTTCATTCTATGATTTTCTTAACATGTGAAAATAGGTATATATTTCTCTATGTGTGCAGTAATTTTCTGTGTATCTCACATCAGTAGATTCTGTCTATTTTAAAACCTCAGAAATATGAAAAACATAATATGTTGCTCTCCCTAGGAGCATCATCAAACTATTCCAAATGAAATTACATTGGAAAGCAACTTGCATCTGGAATAACACTAGAGTGCATAATTTGGATCCTTATAAGAAAAACAACTGACCTCACCTGTGTTTGTTATATGAAAAATCTAAAAAAAAAAAAAAGAAAAAGAAAAAGAAAAAAGGTATCATTAGCCATAAAACAAAACCACTAAGAATGAATTAGTTTAAGTTTTATTGGATTGAATGAAGTAAACATAACACACCAATTCTAGCTACCAAACAATAGATGGGTTCATGACAGCCACATACAGACTGTTGTTCATGTGTCATTTTAATCTACTAACAATTTAAAAGTTTAACTGGGAACTTATATGCCATCTTAATTCCTGTGTAGTATACAGAGCATATACATCTTAGAAATCTTAAGGATATTGTAATTATTAACATACAAATTTTACTTTTGACACTTATAGGACTATAAACATGATGGAATATACGAAGGATGATTATTGAATCAGATACTCTAGAAATACAAAGTATTTGTCTTATGTAACTAATAGATGAATGAACCATGCATATGTACTTGAAACACCAGTTTGCAATGTATAGGTTTGTAATTTTTTCATAAAGATCTTTTTTCCCCTTTGACACCCATCATGAGACCGAGGACAGTACTGGGAAAGCATACTATAAAAAATTTTATGGTAGCTGGTTTAAATGACAATTCTATTTAAAACTTTAACATATTAGAATACATTTTACAATCACATTGTTTTACTCTTTGAAGTTTTTCCTTCTTAGAAATTTCCTATATGTGTACGTAGCACTAATTTTTAAAGGTCTTGTAATAAAAACATGGGAGCCTGATATTGGGGTAAATGCTGAAAGATCAGAGAGACAAAGGAACAAGCCACTGCCATGTCTCACCTCACCAACTCCACGAATCCTCTGATTGAATCAAAGGGGGTCCAGCTGACAAAGCCTTTAGTTCCTGTCTTTTGATGCCTTACATACCTTTCTCTGCCCAGCCATCACTTCCTTCCTAGTGCTGGGATTAATGGCCTGTGTGCTTCCCAAAACTGGGATTAAAGGTGTGAGATCTCAAGTGCTGGGATTAAAGGAATGTGACTCCCAATTATTGGGATTAAAGGTATGTGCCAACTGCCTGACATCTATGTTTAATCTAGTGGCTTGTTTTGTTCTCCGATCCTCAAGCAAATTTTATTATGGTACACAATATATCACCACATTGGCTTTTCAGGCTGAGGAGTCCTAGAGGTAAGACTGGGCAGCGGCTTCTTCCTTTATTCTCTGATCTTTCAGTATTTACCCCAATATCTGGCTCTAGGTGTTTTGTTATAAGACCTTTTAAAATTTGTGCTACATATGTATCCTTAAATCATTAGTTTTATGGCTCCTGGGAAAGCAAGAATCTCCTATAAACAGTATATTACTCTTTAGGAATTTCATTTTTAAAAAGTATCACACCCTTGAACAATCCACTGGGGTAAAGTTTAAAAAAGGACAGGCACTGGTGGACATTAATGAATTTGAGGAGCTATATGTTGAATGACTGACATGCCTCCTGTACGGTTGTACAGACAGAAAATAAGAGTTCTAATAAACATGCTGAAAAGGCAAAGGACCTGCACATGGGATAAACTCTAAGATGATATTTAAAAATATCACTGTTTAAACTTCTCAAACTAGAATATTCTAGGATGGAAAAGGAACAACTTTTAAATCTAGGGTTTTTTTGTTTTGTTTTGTTTTCCCCTGTAGACTTACTAGAAAAAGAGAGAAATGAAGAACCAATCTGTGGAGATAGTGTTCATTTTGCTTGGACTGACAGATGACCCTCAGCTACAAATTCTGATTTTCCTGTTTCTGTTTTTCAATTACATCTTGAGCCTGATGGGGAACTTAGTGATCATCCTCCTCACCCTGCTGGATCTCCGCCTCAAGACTCCAATGTATTTCTTCCTCCGGAATTTCTCCTTCCTGGAAATTGCATTCACATCTGCCTGTATTCCACGGTTCTTGATGAGTATTCTCACTGGAGACAAAACAATTTCCTACAATGCTTGTGTAGCTCAATTATTCTTCTTCTTTCTATTATTAATCACAGAGTTCTACCTCCTGGCTGCCATGTCCTATGATCGCTATGTTGCCATCTGCAGACCCCTGCACTACCCCATCATCATGAACAGCAAAGTGTGCCACCTGCTGGTCATTAGCTCCTGGGTGACTGGGTTCTTATCCATCTTCCCCCCTTTGATGTTGGGACTCAAACTGGAATTCTGTGCCTCCAAAACCATAGACCACTTCCTATGTGACACTTCTCCTGTCCTCCAGCTGTCTTGCACAGACACACGTTTCATAGAATGGATGGCTTTCATCATAGCTGTGATGACACTGGTCATCACCTTGATCTTAGTGATCCTCTCCTACACACTCATCATCAAAACCATCCTCAAGTTCCCTTCATCTCAACAACGGAGAAAGGCCTTTTCCACCTGCTCCTCACACATGGTTGTTGTCTCCATTACTTATGG